GTCCCTTTGAACCTGCTTCACATACTCATTGCTTTCTCTGTTTTCTCCATCAAGCAATTCTCCCCTCTTTTTCTGTTCTTCCATTCCACCATTTGTTTTTTCCTGGGTGGTGCTTAGCATTTCTCTAACTATTCTGCATACTTCTAGCTTCAGGTCGTTGATAACTTCATTCCTGAATTGGTCTATGAGGCTCTCTAGATGGCGCTTGATGTATATTGGTGCGGTGTCCACTATTGCCTGTTTCTCAGGATTGGGGGCCGAGGAGCCTTTTTTGTTGCTTCCCTTCCCCATATTTTCTGTTCCTTATAAAATGCAAGCTTACATAGGAGGCCCGGCTTCCCTGCCTGTCAGCCACAGCCTGATCAAATTGCGCTGGCTAGGTGTTCCCGCCCACCGCTGCACACCAGGGAGTCGTGGAGAAGGCAGCCTACGCGGGAGTCAGTCGCTCCTCCGGGCCACCGTCAGGCTCTGGGATCTGGGTTAGGCCAGCCTAGGGAGTCCGCCAGCAGCGTCACTCAGGCCAGGGACTTTTCACCAATCCCGTCCGAGAGGGGAATGTGTGGCTGGAGTTGCCACCGCGCCCTGCTCTTACAGGACTGCCCGAGCCCAAAAAGTCCTCCGCTGGAGTCAAACTGTGGTAGGGGGTCAGTTTCTCACTCACCTCGCCACCAGTCAGTTTTCGTGGACGCCTCCTTGTCCGTCCTGTTTTCGACTCCGTTCGCAGACTCCCGTTCCCGAGCTTCTGCGCGTCTCTCCTTGCCGAGCCGCTTGTGGAGGCAGCCAGCCGCCGGGCGGCGGGAAACTCAAATCGTGGTTTCCAATGGCGCGAGGTCGAGCCTCCACATCGAGCCTTTTCTGTTCCTATTTTAGCGCCAGGACTGTATTCTAAGTTGGTTTCTCTCAGCCCAGTTCGTTCCTGAGTCAGCAGAGCATATCTCTACTGGTTCGTGTCTCCTTAGTCCGCATCATTCCTGGCCTCTGAGCCGAGCCTTTCAGAGAGCCTTCGGTAGTTGCTGTTGTCTGTCCGCCATGTTCTCCTGGGTCCCAGTCTGTTTCTTTTAATTGGTGAATTGAGGCTATTTACATTAATGACTATAACTGAATCATATTGGTTTATTTTTGACATGTTATCTTTATGCTATTAATTCTTTACCTTTCCCCTCTGTTTGATTGTTTTCCTTGCTTAGTGATTTTATCCTATGTCTATCTAGAATGTCTTTCTGTATTCTTTGCAGTGTTGGTTTAGTGGTCATGGAGTTCTTCGTCTGTTCTTTGTCATGGAAGTATCTTATTTCTCCATCAATTTTGAAGGACAGTTTTGCAGGGTACATCAATCTGGAATGGTAATAATTTTCTTTTATGATCTGAAATACTTCATTCCATGGTCTTCTTGACGTCATTGTTTGTTGAGAAGTCTGCTGTAATTCTGATAGGCTTTCCTTTATGGTGATCTGTCTCTTCTCTCTTAACAGCTTTTAATATTCTATTCTTATGTTGGATTTCTTGAATGTTGATTATTGTATGTCTTGGTGTAGTTTTATTTTGGTTATGGCTATTTGGAGTTTTATATGTTTCACTTATCTGTATCTCTTTGCATTCTCATGTTTGGGCAATTTTCAGCTATTACTTCTGTAAACAGCCTCTTGACATCATTTGTATTGTCATCTTTTTTGTTTATACCTATCAATCTTATGTTATATTTCTTTGTATCATCTTGAGGCTGTTGAATTGTTATTTCCTGATTGTTATTTTTAACAGATCTTTCCTTTTCTGTTCACTAACTGTAATCTTGTTTTAAGGTCTGAGAATCTATCTTTACTTTCGGTGAGGGGGTTTTGCCAACTTTTGATGGAATTTTTTATTTGCTATATATCTCTTTGAATCTGTTTTATGCATTCTGTTTGTTTCTTATATTGGTTCATTCAGGGTTTCCATCTTTTTGCATTGTTCCTCTAATTTTTTAACGATGTGTTCAGCATTTCTTTCATTACATTTATTATTTCTTCTTTTACCTGGGAGATTATTTCTGATCTGAGTTCTTTTATATCTTCCCAGAGTTGTTTTCTTACTTCAGTTGCTATCATTTCAGGAAAATGTATGGCTTACATTTTCTTCTATGTCCATGTCACCTTGACTTGCTTGGGATGGGCTGGAGGTTTGAGATTGCAATTTGCTCTTTTGTTTTATGGTTTTCTTATATTCCCTTAGGGAAGCTGAAGGCAAGGTCTCAGTTTCTAGGGTTGAGAATATCTACCCCTGTTTCAGGGAGTTTCCTCAGTTGAGTGGAGGTCCTTAGACAGACCTTACCAGGTGGCTCCCAACCATTGGGGGTCACTGGGCTGGGCCCCACCACTCGTGGAGTGGTGTACCAAGGCTTCCTTGTGGGATGGAAATCATTGTGTGCACTTGCAGCTCACAAGGCAGAATGCAGGTGGCTGGGAGCCACTCAGGCTGGATAGAGTCAAATAGGTTCCCAAATAGGTCTAGTGCATCCTCTGGTGATGGGAGATGTTGGACAGGGCACTTCCAGTCTCAGAGCTATATGCCAAGGCTTCCCTGCGGGATGGAAATGTTGCATGCACTTGCCTGGCCTTACATAATTTTTTTTGTTTTTAGTATTGGTAATTGAACTCACAACCTTGTGCTTATGCAGCTAAGATAAATCCCTGGCCCCTTTCCTTATTTTTATTGTGGTAAAATATACCTAACACAAAATTTATCATTTTAGCCATTTAAAAGTATACAACTTGGTAGCATTAAGTTCATTCAAAATGTTGTGCAGCTATCACCAAAACACTTTTTATCTCACACAAAAATCTTATTCTCATTAAGCAGTTATTCACCATTAAACCTTCCTTGGAGTCCCTGCCAATCACTAATCTGTTTCTATTTTTAGGAATTTGCCTGTTCTGTATATTGATACGTATTTAATATGTATGAAGCATTGTACTATGGGTTAGGACCACCGTATCTTTTGTACAGAGCTTGTATTTATGGTGTAACATGATACCATACGTTAGATGGTTTTTTGTGCCTGGCCTCTTTTATTTAGCATAGTGTTTTCAAGGTTTATCTATAGTGTAGCATTTGTTAGTACTTTTTTCATGGTTTAATAATATTCTCTTGTATGTATACATAATATTTTGTTCATTGATTCATCCATTGATAACTATTTAGGCTGTTTCTGGCTTTTGAAGTTGCTATGAACATTTGTATACAACTTTTTATGTGAAAAGTTGCTAGAGTTCTTTAATGCGTAAGAGCAGTATTAATGTGTCATATAGTAATTTTGTTTAATTTACTGTAGATATAGTCTTTATTACTTTTCACACAAATATTTCTCAAAACATGGGACAATACTAAGTGGTTCACCATAGTGACATTTAGTATCAGTGAATTACTCTTAACTTCAGTTCCTCTCATTAAACTCTGGAGTCTCAATTTGGTATTAGAATGGCTTTCAGATAATGAACTGTGTTCATCTCCCTATTAGCAAATACACAGCAGGCTTGAAGCTCAGAACCTTTGTCACACAGTTCTATCTAGTTGGAATTTAGTATTTTTCCTTATTTTTCATTTTATCCTTATATTTTGTTTCTATAACATGTAATATTGATTTTACATGTAGTAGAAGTTTGCTTTTCATGTAAATGTAAGTGAAACAGTGATACACATCATACAAAAGTATTAAGAACTGAATAAATACAGTAAAAAATTATAAAAATATATGAGAATGACTTGAAGTTTAAAAATAAAGTCCTGAGGTTAGATGTGGTGGCACGTGTCTGTAATCCCAGCAGTTGGGAGGCTGAGGCAGGAGGATCACTGCAAGTTTGAGGCTAATCTGGACTGCAAAGTGAGTTCAAGGCCAGTTTAAACTGCATAGCAAGACCCTGTCTTAAAAAACCAACAACAAACAACAACAAAATAAATATCTGAGCTACTGCTATATAATCCTAATTTTCCCTTTCTTAGGCTTTCACATTATAGTTCACCTCATGTTCCATTCCTGGAACAATTTGGAATAACTTGGAATAACTTGCATAAGGTTACTCACTTATTGATGAGTGTTTAATGATTTCTTTTTTGCACAAAGTAAAATTGAAGGTTGTTTAGCTACACAGTTGATGCCCTTTATCCTTCACGCCAACCAAATGAATCTAATTATCATCCTGAAAAACCACCTTGTATGTTTTTTTAACCACTGTGTGTCCCTTCATGTCATTCTTGGGCTCTAAATTCCTTTCCCCTTACTTTGTACTACAGTTCATTAGGGTTTGATATCTATGAGGCATTGTACTATGAGTTAGGACCACAGTATCTTTTGTACAGAGCTTATATTTATGGAAGGACAGGTACTATACACAGGAATAATTCTTTAGTTACATTTGCAGTAGGTAGTGTAACAAAAAAAAGAGAATATTTTGAAAACAAATAGGATAACTAATCTAGTTGAGGTTGAAAGGATGTTTCCTTAGGCTTCCTGGAGAAAATGCCATTTAGGTTGAGTCTTAAGGGTGAGTAGGCATTAACTTAGTGAGGAAATGGCCAGAGAAAATATCTGATGATACTGAATGGGTGAAACCTTGGCTCAGGCATGCTATACTCTCATGTATTTATTTTTCAATGAAGACATATGTTACTTTTTCAATAATAATGTACTAGTATGTAATACATAATTCTGCTTTTTAAAAATGCTGACTTTACAGGCAACCTTGACTCAGTGAAATTTTTTGAAGATAATCACTTTTCAGAAATCATGGTAGAGAGGGCCAGGGATATTAGCCCAGTGGTACAGTGCCTGCTTGGCAAGTGCAAAGTCCTGAGTTCAATTCCCAGTACAAAAAAAAAAAAAAAGGAGAAAAGGTTAATGATGTAGCTCAGTGCAAAGACCATGGGTCCAATCCTCACTATCATAAAATAAAAGCAAATAAATAACTTTTTAAAAAATCACTGTAGATAGACAAATTCAGTTCTTAAAACTATCCAGGGAAGCTATATGAGAATTTATATGATATGGATTTATTGCATTAATATAGAGAGCTACATCTGATTATAATTCTGTACACATATTTTCATTTTTCAAATGTAGGGATGGCTAGTAGGTATGTCTAACCTTTTGGCTTGCCTGGGCTACATTCAATGAGGAAGAATTGTCTTGGGCCTCATATAAAATATATAGTATGGTTAATGTGTATAAGTAACAAAACTTTTTTACATTCATTAGCATAACATTAAAAAAAGTCAGGTGACTGTGGATGGTAGCCTAGACATGCCATAAAGAGTGCTATATCGATGTGAAAGTCTTTTTATTGCTGTGTATCCAGAGAAACCAGCTCTTGATAGCTTAAGGTAAAAAGGAACTTCTTTGGTACAGTAGTTGAAGAGTCCACAGGAAGATTAGAGAAACAGGCTTGCAAAATGGACAGGGTCCTAAGGAAGCTAATGTCGGGAAGGAGTAGTCACATAGTTCTGGGTGTGGATAATGGGAAGGGCCCACCCTGGGTGTGGATGCTGCCCACCCTAAGAGCATGTAACCTACATAGAATATAAGGGACAGAAAGAGGGGTGATGTTATTGTTTGTTGCTTTGCTACTTCACTGCTTGTTGCCTTCTTTCTGCTGTGCTACTCTGGGTCTGCCAACAAACTGTTTCTCCTCTGCTATGCCCCTCTGTTATGCCATCCTGCCTTGGAACCACCCAACTTTGAACTGAAATTGCTGCAAACTCTGAGTTACAATAAACCTTTTCTCTTTTAACTTTGGTTGTCAAGTATTTTATCTCAGCAATGAGAAAAGTAAGACAGGATAAGCTTGGTTGAGTCAAGACTAGCTGCTGCGTTCTCCTCCTTTTAGCCATGGTTCACATATTAAGGGATTTGCTCCAAGTAAGAAAGGTATTTACAGTAGAAGACTTTTCCCTTTCAAGTAAAACTAATTAGCTGTCCTTCACAACTACCTGCTGAAATAGAACTGTTCTGCCTGGTGACAGTAGCTGTGAGCTTCTGAACTATTAAGGTAAGATTATTAAAAGTTTTTCAAATGTTCTAGAAGGCATTTGTCTGTTTCTGTTTTATGAAGCATTATGACAGCTTACTAGGAAAAGCTGTTATTATTTTTTTCAAAGAAAACCAGTTTTATATATTTCTGAATTTCATAGTATAAGCATAACCTAATTTAAAGAGCACAGTAAAAGATAGACTACAGGAAACAAGGAGGTAGAGTTTTTGTAGATGTGAAGGAGATCTAAGAATGAATGGGGAGGAAAGTGAAGAGAGAGAAAGAGAAAATGAAATGATTGAGATGCAGTCTGTAAATGTACTGACTCTCCATGAGTAATATATTCATTGTGCATTGTAGACATACTAATTAAAAAATTAAATTGATTACGTATTTTTGTAACAAAAAGGAAAGATATTACTGGAGATGCATTTACTTTTTAGTATTTTATATTTAAAATGTGTATAAGATATTGTAATTTATAAGAATAGATAAAGCCAAAATGTACTACATATATATATTTTGATTGCTTTAAAATATCTCAAGAAAAAAGTTTAAAAACTAAAAGGATTAGTACTAATTCAAATTATAGAATATTTGTGCTTTTACCAATTTCTGAAAACTTACAGTTCTTTTCACAGTACATTTCATGAATTAGTCCTTTATGAGACATAAGAACTTTTTCTAGGTACTACATTACATTTGCTACATTACATTTGGGAAACTGTATTGTCATAAAAAATTATTTGAGGAATGTTTTGTTATACATATGCATGCTTTTGTTTCATAAGAACTTGATTCCATTAATAATGTTAATGTCACCTTTGTAACTACAGATAATATGGAATATAGCTCAAGTACCGAGAAATTACTTTTAGAGACAGAAATATAGTCACAGCAAAATAGTTACAAGTATTAAATTTCCTAGAAATTCTGTAACCTAGAAATCACAAGTGAATATTATAACAGACAAGAGAAAGAATCATTTTCCTATTACAGAATTCTTGGTGTTTCATTAGTCTCAGTTCAATTGTTCTAGGTTTTCAGATCATCTTTTCCAGGTCTTCATATATTTCAGTGTTTTAAAGAGTTCTTTCTTTCAACTTGCTGTAATGAGAAAAATGAGAATTTTACTTATTGAGCAATTGTTGTTTTTTCCTCAGTAATTATAGAATTGATACATAAAAACATATTGTAGGAAAGGGCTGCTATCATAACCAAGGTCTGACTGTCACACAGGATCATAGCAGAATCTTTCTGCAGTTTTCTATTTTCTTTTTTCCAAAAGGTTTGTTTCGGATAAAACTAATTACAACATAGAGATAATTGGGTAACCTACCTTGATTATAAGGCCTGCTTGTTTTGATCTGGGATTTAGGCATCGTTGTCCTTTATGTGCTTTCAGGGTAATACTGTGAAGATAAAAATGAATCTTAAGCTTTGGATGGGAAAACATAAACACAACAAACAAAAAAGCTCCATGATTGTCATATTCTGCAAGTCTACAACTTACATCACTTCGATTTTGTCACAGCTATTACTTGGGTAAATTATAGAGGCTTTTGCAATATCTGCCACTTTTACAGCTCTCAGTCCAGGACCAATGCATAGACATCGTCCCCTTTTGAACATAGGGAAGCCTAGAACAACAGGTCACAACACTGATTAGTAATACATCTGATAGCAATAGATGACTATGCTTTATTATCCTCATGAAAAATGTTTTCATTAAAGATAAAGTTTTCATTAAGGATAAAGATAATAATTTGTCAAAATGCACTTGTTACTTGTGTTACTGATAAAAGAGTTATTGATAATTGTTTCCTTAAATTTGTAAACTGTTAATTATAAAATCATACGAAATGTGAAGGTGTTTATTAGATGTAAAGCTGTTTGCTGCTTGCCTGTTTTTGTTTTGCCTCTTTTATGCTCAATTATTTTTCCAGGAAGTTTACATAATCCCCCCAAAAGTCTTCTTAACAGACATTAAAAATTGTTGGTAAACCTCTTGCTAGATTTTGTATCCAAATAAAAATTTGTTTGAAGTTTGTAATCTCTGGCTTTAGTAATTATCTTTAGTGTCTCCAAGATTTCTACATTTTCTGTCAAAGCTGTAACTTCTAATGTGTGAGATTAAATGAAAATTTCCATATATTTTAGGATAAAAGTGGAAGAAAAGACATTTGAAGTACTACAGAAGGAATTTATAAACTGAGAAGTAAAAAGTACAATATACCTTGAACAACTGTAGCAGAGAGTATCATAGCCAAGACTATAACCAAACCTTTCATGTTCATGTTTCTTTATTGCTGCTGCTGTTCTTGCTTAGGCTGGGATGCTCTTCGTGGAGGGAGTGGAAATGCTGAACCTGAAAGGAAATTCTTAGTTGAATGTAAAGTGCATTTTATATACCAACAACCAGCAATAGGAATTTCCCTCCTTCTTCATGTTCCTTTCTTTGCTTCCAGAGCTTTCAGTTTTGTTCTCATGTCATTGTTATTATCCCTTCCCATCTGTTTTAGTATTGAAAGTAAAATGAATGTGAAAGCACTTGGTAAAGACTAAAGTGGTATAAAAATGTAGAACGGGACAGGAACCAACCTTGTTAAGGTAACTTTTCTTAGAAGTGCATTTAATTGTTAGGCTACTCTGGGCAGTGAAATTCAAACTGAAGTTCATCAAGACTGTCTTCCTATTTTCATTCCTCCATTCTTCACATAACTGTACCAAAGGGCATTCTAAAATGTATATTTTAAGTCATCTGACAACTTTTAAGTCTAAGTTCTCATCTTGAGGAAGGCATATATTATTTGACATCAAACAAATGTTTCTTTAGCTTTTTATTTTACCTATAACTTCATGTATAAAGAAGTTTCCCTGTACTTCTATACTTACATCCATGTCTTTTTTCACTTTAAACTTTTTACTTTATATTAGCACTGTTAACTATAAATATATCCGAACAAAACACTGTATTTATAGACACTACAGGGAAAATACAAAAAAAAAAATCCTTCTTCTCTGTGAGAAAAGCTATTTAGTGGTTTGTTGGGAGGTGGTGGCAGCGGCTGCTGCTGCTGCTGTTGCTTGCTTGTGACCCTAAAAAGGAAAGACTTCATACCCATGTGGGTATGGTTTTGCCTACTTTTTTTCAGAGCCAAATGTTAGCATGGTTATTTAGTTCTTCATTTGAAAAGTTTTTAAGTAACAAATCCAAAATTATGCAAGTTATAAGAGAGGTTGGTTTTGTGCTGTAACTTTTTCACTTAATTTCCTTAAACTATACAAAAAAATAGGGCTAACTGGGCTTTGGCTGGCACTAATGTGTCTTTATTAGTCTCTTCATTAGTCTTTACTGCCTCTTCCGGTATTCTTGCTTTTCTATTTCCTGGAATGCATCATCTTTCTCTATAGTAATTAATTTGTTTATCCACTCATTTGTTCAACAGATGTTTATTTTAGGTGTATGCCACATGCTGAGCACTTTTAGGACTGTTGAAAATAAACGTCCAATAAAAACAATCAGATTCCTTCTTGTGTATTGCAAATTTTGCAACTTTTTGCCAATGTTGTAGACAACATCTGCCTGATTTTTGCTGGCTCTATACATAGGTTGAGTATTTCTTCAGGATTGATTCTAACTTGTGCTGGCCTAATTAATGTGATAGCAAATGTCTTCAAAAACAAAACAAGAAAACTATCCAAGATAATTTATTCAGTTAAATTAGAAATGGAAACTAATGTTGCCATTTACTGTAAATCAGCAGGACTTAACAGAATTGTTTTTTGAATTTATAGACAAGAGATGACTCACTGTAGTAGAAGAGATTGCCAAGCATATGTTAGGCACCTTAAATGATGTGAATAGACTGAACAGAAGGATTCATAATCCTAAACTGTTAAAATTACAGTAGTATAGTACCTGACACTCCTTTGTTAAAAAAATTAAGGAATTTAGGGAGTGGTTTGTAGATTTGGGGGGTACCTTTCATATGATGTTATTTTTGTGATTTTCTTGAAGCATTATTAAAATATTCATCCCAGAAATTAGATGTAGCCTGTGAGCTATAATCAAGGCAACTATAAGACACTGAGTAAGCCTATATTTTTTCCAAAAACATGAAATTGTATAGATAACAACAACCAAAATCATCAAGGCATTGAGACATAGCGCATAATTTATTGCTGTTGGAAGGAATTCCAGAGTGACAGTGAATTTTGTTTGTTTGTTTTGTTGGTATTAGGAATTGAACTCATGACCTCACACTTGTCTGGTAGGCACTTATGACACTGACCTAAACTCCTAGCCCAACAATGAATTTTGAATATTGCTGTTTCCGAGACTATATTGATTTATTTCTGGGACTTTGACATAAGACATTTTCAGAAATTTACTGCTAATAAAAATCTGGTATTTGAAAATAAGATATATCAGAGCTCCCATTTTATTAAGAATAACTTCATCCTTATTATGTGCTGTACTAAACATTGTAATTTCAAGTACAAACACAAAAGAAGTGACAGTTTTTAGTGGCCTCTATCACTTTATATTTTCACTTTATATCACTCTATATATCACTGATATTTCCATGCTTGAGAAAGCTGCTGTTACTTATCTATCTTTCCTTGTCAGCATGTCAAAAGGGATAGAAGCAAAACTATGGCATACCTCATATGAAGGATTATTGAACTCTCTGTGATGGGGCCGGGGATTTAGCTCAGTGGCATAAGCGCCTGCCTCGTGAGGTCGTGAGTTCAATCCCTGGCATTGCAAAAAAAAAAAGTGAACTCTCTGTGATGAATTTCTGATGTTAATAGAGAAGCAGTTAGCTAGACTCTGAAAACATCTATTTAAAAAACACAGCTTTTTAGCTTTTAGTCATTGTAGTACCAGTGTATAATGCATTTAGACATTGTAGTGCAAAAACTTTGCTTTTTAAATATGCCCATTCATGGCGATTAGATACAGATTTTCCATGTCTTATTCGTGGATTTGGATGGTTTCTTAGTGGCTTCATTACATTTATTGCACCGGAGAGGGTTTCCTGAAGTATTTAAATTATGAGCATTTTATTAAATTACAGCTCTTCTGTTTTTGGAAATCAGGTATTAAGAGTTTAATATACTCTTCTTCCTCTTCCTCCTCCTCTTTCTCCTTCTTCCTCTTCCACTTTATTTTATTCTATTCTATTCTATTCTATTTGTCTTTTTGAGACACATAGGGTTTAACTATGCAGTTCAGGCTGACCTTAAACTCACTTTGTAGTCAGGCTGGCCTCAAACTCATAGGCGTCCTCCTGCCTCAGCCTCCCAAGTGCCAGGATTACCAGGGGTACACCACCATGCTTGACTGAGTTTGACATACTCTTCTTCTGAAAAAAAAAATTGAAATATTTTACTGTCTTTTTTGGAAGAAGCTATCAAATTATAGCCATTCTTTGCCTATTTTTTTTAATCTGGCAAAGCACAGTATAAAAATACTGTTTATCTAAAGGCAAATTCATTTGCTTTGGAGTGTTACTTTTTGACATATTAGGGTAATTTTATTAGGCTCTGATTAATAAGTGTGATACTTGATATATTTTCACAGTAATTCAGGAGGACAAAAATAATATAGGTTTGAAAACAAATTCTTTTCCTTTAGAAGTTTAGGTAAACTTTTAAAAACAGTATGTCAAAATTTAGAACACAGAAGAAAGAGTAACCAAGTTCGTTACTGCACTGACTAGACCAACTCTCTTTTCCATGTCCTTTGTACCCCTCACAGAAGATTTGCTGTCATTTGTATGTTTTGAGCCAGGAGCACTGTGTAGTACAAAATAGTTTCAGTACCACTGTAAAATTCAGAGAAGTAATTTTTTCTCACAACAAAGGCAGCTCTGTGCATGGCCTTCAGTTGGTTGTCTGGAAAATGACTGTAGTCAACAACTGCTGGGGTAGTATGCGCATGTTAATTTTTCCAGGCTGTGAAACAACATGTCCATTGTTAAAGGACAAAAAACATGCGAAAGATTAGTAGTGAACAACTTTACAAACGACTAACTGAAGGAAACTTGGTTCATTAAGAAGGGAAAAATTGTGCAGTGGCTTACTTACTAGTTTATTGTCTGTGTGGGAGAGAAAGTAATACAGAAAAGGATCTTGGCTGAAGCGATAAACCCTGAATGTGCCTGGTGGAGGAGCTATGTCTGCAAGGTAAGAAGCTATATTGCGTTTATTAGTGTTTTTAATAGAATATAAATAAAATGGGCATTCATAAGAAACACTTTTAATACCAGTTTAAACTAAGGATTATGTAAATTTAATGTTTTAAATAGCAGATATAGTCAGAAATTAACAAAGACTGGAAGGACATATTTTGTTGCAAATATTTTACTTTTTATGTTAACTTAATATTGGAAACAAATGCCTGTTTTTGAATTCCAGTCAAGAACAACACCTACTTGGGTAGAGTTTTTTGTTTTTTTTTTTTTTTTTTTTTAAGGTACATTATGCTGACTGTTGCTGTTTTTAAGTAAAAAGCCAGTAAAATATTCTCATCATTTTCTTTTTTTAAGGCTTCCCCAGCATCCTAGTTCCAACTTAGAACCCACTTGCTTCTCTTAAGTTTCTTGCTTTCTCTCTCTGAGTATGTAAGAGGGTAAGCAGTAAATAATTAGAGTCAGAGAAATGTGACTCAATTCTCAGGTCTGAATGTCCACCTGCCTCTGTGCATCTGTACCATTTGGTGGGTGGGTATATGGTGGTAGCAAGATAGATAATGAAGATCAGAATAATTGCCATCATTTGTTGAATGTCTGCCATACTGTTTCACTAGTGCTCATAGCAATTTGTAAGAAAGAATACCCTTAGCCCCTTTTTAAAATTTTGTTATTATTTATTTATTGATACCAGGGATTGAACTCCTGACAACACACTTTACAAGGCAGGTGCTTATGCTACTAAGCTAAATTCCCAGTCTCCTTTAGCCCCTTTTAAAAGAAGAAACAAGCTTTAAAAGGTTATATAATTCAGTCTTAAATCAGTTAATACATTTATTAGAAAACAGTCGAATCAACAACAGTGATAAAGCATTCCCTTTTATGTTGAAATGGGAAAGAAAAGGCAATTTCAAATATCTGACATGTAATTCCCAGCCCCAGGTCTCCCTCTTAATAGAAAGTGCAAAAGAAGATTAGAGCAGAAGATTAAGTATAGGACAGTTTGAGATAAATAGAATCTGAAAGTTCTGCTGAGAAAGGAATTAAGAAAGTGAGCCTCATTTAATTTACATTTCACATGATTATTGTACATTTTTAAACTTTCCCTTTGTTAGTAATATTTGTCTTCCCTTGTCCCGTTGTGGCTAGCCATAATAACTCTTGGAAAGTCTTAGAACAGCTATGTTTATTCTAAGGGTCAGGAAATAAGAAATTGAGAAAACTGTTTACTACAATTAGCTAAGATGGACAGAAACTGATCTCAGGCAGAAACTGGCAATAGTAAGGTAGGTCAGCTCCTATCTTTGAGAATTTATACCAAATGAAGGCTATGTGGACTTTAAGAAGTTAATAAAGAAGGACAAAAGAGGCCAAGAAACTGCTTTGGACATGTTCTCATTCCCATTGCTCCATCCTACACTATTTCTCTTCATTTAGTTTATGTTATAAATTTTTTGTTATGGTTCCAGCAACCCTACCTATTACTGCTCTCCTCATCCCTACCGCTTCTTTTCCATAATGCTTGAAGTCTGAGCTTACATTTGGAAGGATATCAGGGTTCAGCCCATATAATAGATTGATTTTTGTAATGGCTAAACTAGTGAAAGTATATTTTTTATCAGATTGTATTGGTACATTTTAGATATATATAGTGATCGCATTCATCATAGACAATTTTTACCTGAACATGGTATGTTTCTTATTTTTGTTATTCACCTGTCCTCCTTCAACTCTTCCTCCTCTCCCTATTTACAAAAGTTTTGTTTGTTTTCCATATTTTCTCATTTTTTTTACTTTTCCCTTCTTTCTCCTTCCTCCCTCATTCCCTTTCCCATTTGAACATTTTCTTCCTATTTTACGGTATCTGTTACAAACTTTGATCCTTTTTTACACTTTGAGTTTCTCACATCAGAGAAAGTGTGGTTTTTACATATATCTCATTTGTTTCACTTAAGAGTGTAGTCTCAAGGTGCATCCATTTACCTAGAAATGTCTCAGTCTTATCCTTTTTTATGGCAAGGTAGTTCTCCATTGTATAAAAAAAAAAAACACATGTTCTTTATCCATTCTCAGTTGATGGGAATTTGATTTCCAAGATTTGGCTATCACAACCTGTGTCACTGTAAACATAGGTATGCATATATCACTGTCGTATGATGCTTTTAATTCTTTTTGGAAAACACCAAGAAGGGGAATACCTGGGTCAAATGGGACCTTTAGTCCTAGTTTTTAGAGAAATTTCCACACTGATTGCTTCAGTGGTTGCACCAGTTTACACTCCCACCAGGAGTGGAGAAGGATTTGAAAAATTAGTTTTACATACAGTTGGGGGATCTTCCCAAAAGTGAAAAATGTGCAGGACTCAGAGTTGAATAGGAAACGCAGAGGCCTGTGAATGTGTTCTAAAACCAGAAGCTCAAAAAATAGATCTCAAAAGCCTAGGAACAGACAGGAATAGCATGTTTGGAGTAAGGGAGCAGCAGACCTAGAAATTGCTAAAAATCAGCATTACTATTCAAGACAAGCAGAATAATTTCGGGGAGCGAGGTTAGATATATTTAAATAGATCATGAAAGGGGCAAAATTCCTATTACCTATCAGATTGGGGAAGAAGAGAATAGGAGAAAAGTACTGTATTCCTGATACGTCAGGTCAAAGCCTAGAGAATTAATACATGTTACATTAAATTTCCAGGCTAATTTACTGTAATAGTTACCTCATGATGAACTTGAAATATGAATTCTCAGTATCATGAGAGAAATCATGTTAATAGAAAACAGTGGATCTTCAAATGAATTACATCCCATGGGTAACTGGGAAATCACCTATAAATTAGAATTAAAGAATAGCCAAGGAAGCCAGGTGCGGTGGTGTGTGCCTATAATCTCAGCACGCAAAAGGCTGGGGCAGGAGGATCACTGTGAGTTCAAGGCCAGCCTGGGCTACACAGTGAACTAAAGGCTAACCTGAAGTACACAGCAACACCCTGCCTCCAAAAAAGGAAAAAACCAAAGAATAGCTAAAATTTTTAATCTTATCATTGCTCATGCATATTCACTATGAAGATAATTTACTATTAATTTTAAAAATTTAAAAAGTAATGCCAATACTTTTGAAGAATATTAATCAGTTACTTTATAGAACGTTCTTCAGTTTAACTTATCTGATGTCTTAGAATAAGGTTGTTCATTTTTGGCAAGAAAACTAAACAGTCATGTTTTCAGTGTTCTAGCAAGGTTCACAGTGTTGATATGTGTTATTATTAGTGATGTTTACTTTGATCCTTTTTATTATGTTTACATCTTCCAGAAAGGGCAGATTGAAGGAAACTGAGGAGAAATTACTAAATGCGATATAAGTTCTGGGTAGGATTCTAGAAAAAGGACATTAGTGTCAGTAGTTAGACCAAATTTAAAGAAGTCTGAAGTTTATTTAATAATACTTACCAATGTTACTTTCCTAACCTTGATAATTGCACTATAAAAGATGTTAAAGTTACGGAAAGAGGAACAAAGGAGATAAGGACACTCTGCCCTATTTCACTTTCTGTAAATCTAAAAACAATATATATATGTGTGTATATATATATATATATACATATATATATATATATATACATATATATATGTATATATATATATATATATGGTGTTTATGATGGTCAGTTTAAATTCAGTGTATAAAATCAGAACTTTATTTGGTGTCTGAAAAACACAGTTCTGAATATTCTAAGGACACTCAGATTGTACATGACTCTTTTTTTCTTTTTTGGTACCAGGAATCAAACTCATGTGTTTGCCAGGTAGGTGCTTATGTCACTGAGCTAAACCCCAGCCCCTTGTACATGATTTTTAAAGTGGGGGAGAAGCTGAAGACAAAGGAAACTCAAGTTACTATAAAGAAAGATGATACTAGTTTTTTTTAATCTTTGAAAGACTTGTTCACTTTTGAACATTGATAGTAGTCTTTGGTTTTTATGATATTCAAAAATGTTCTCTGGCAGTGTTTGTTTTTGCTTCAGAATCTTCTGATAGCATTCTGACTAATTATAGATAGCAAATGTATTGGAAACTAAGGAATCTTATCTGAGCTGGTTAGATGGAAAGATATGAGTCAAATGTTAATTGTTCATGACTACTAGACGCAGTTTGGACAATAAGGCTAAATAGAATCAGATTTCATTTAGAATTTAATAAAGTTTAAAAACAAATTTAGTCAAGTTTGCTCTTATGAGTGTTTTGCTTTTTTCATCTTTGTATCAGAGTTAGCTATCATTTTTTTAAAAAAAAAACTTGCCAACCATTCTGACAGTAGCTTTTCTGGAATAATCTTTAACACTGAAGAAAACACTATGTGTTTGAACTTGAACTTTTGGAAATATGAATGAAGTGCTTGAATCCAGTCTAATTAGCTAATATAGAACTTAATTTGACAAAAGATATCAACTGAGGGTGATAAGATGCATATGTTAACACTTACTGACTTAGTAAGTTTAACAGTTCCAGAAATCAATCACTGCTGATTCATTTTTAGATATAGTCATTTCTGTATTTCTATTTTCTAAGCAGAAAAAAAATACCCTTATTTTTTAAGAGGTGAGAAAAGTAACAGAAATTCCTTTTGTACACACATACAAAAAGTATGCAGGCTGAAGAAACTAGTTTTGGTTTTTTCCATAGTTTAACATTTTTATTACTTACTTTATTTTATTTATTTATGTAGCCAGAGATCACACTCACGACCATTTGCCAGGCAGGTGCTTATGCCTATGAGCAACATCCCCAGCCCAATTACATGTTTTAAATGCATAATTGCATATATGCGAGAAGTTGAGATAAGTACATAACACATCTTAATTCTTTTTACCCCATCCTCTTGTTCTCTACTCATTTTAACTGCCCATTTTGGAAAAATTCTATTTTTATTTTCTTCAATTCCTTTTTAATCCCAGCCCTCTCCTCCTCCCCCCTCCATCTCTCATTCCCCTTCTCATTTCAGAAAGATATATCTATTTCCTGATATTTTTATTTTATTCTTTGTTTATATTGTATATTCTTCATACAAGAGAGACCACCATGTGATATCTAAGCTTGTGTGTCCAATTTCTTTCACTTAATATGGTCGAGATACATCTATTTACCTGTGAATGCTTCCAGTTTATTTGTTGCTGGCTTATATAGGCTGTTTCCAAGATTTAGCTATAATAAATCATATTTCTGTAAACACTGGTATGCATGTATCACTGTAATAGGATGGCTCTGAATCTTTTGGTAAGATACATAGAAGGGGAATAACAGTCAAATGATACTTGTATTTTTAGTTTTTGGAAAACTCTCCATGCTCATTGCCATAGTGGTTGTACAGGTTTACATTCCCACCAAAAGTATAGAATGCACCTCACCCCCAGACTCATCAACATTTGTTACTATTTGATTTTTTGATAGTCACTCTTTGTAGAGCAAGATAGTGCCTCACTGTTTTTTTAATTTGTATTTCTCGCCAGACCAGCAATGTGGAACATTTTTTCATTTATTTATTGGCTATTTGTACTTCTTCCAAGAAGTATCTATTCACTTGGTTACCCATTTTTTGATTGGCTCTTTCATTTGGTGGGGAAGGTCTAACACTTTTGAATTCTTTGTATACTCTAGATGTTAGTCCTCTATCCAAGGAATAGCTAGAAAATATTCTTTCCACTCTGTAGGTTATCTTTTCACTCTGTTGATTATTTCTTTTGCTATGCAGAAGCTTTTTAATTTGATATCCAATTTGTTGATTCCTCATATTATTTCTGGTGCCACTGGGGTTCTATTTAGAAACTTCTTGCTTATGTCTTTACCTTTAAGACTGCTATCTATTTTATTTTCCAGCAGATTGTTTCTATTGTAACATTATGATTTTAGTTTAATACATGGTGAGACATCTAGGTCTACAATCAATCTCTGCATGTGCGTATTAAGTTTTCCTCACACCATTTATTAAAGAAGCTGTCTTTCCTCTATTGTATGTTTCTGGTCCCTTCGTCAAAGATCAAATGACTGAATATGCGTGGGGTTGTCTCTGCTTCCTCTGTTCTGTTCTGTTGATCCATGTCTGTGTTTTCTTCCAGTATTATGCTGTTTTCATCACTGTAACTCTGTAATATAACTCCAGGTAATCAGGATTACTTTTTATTCCTCCTCTTCCTCGTTCTCCTCCTCCTCCTTCTATTTTGATAAGGTCTCACGGTGTAGTTCAGTGTTGCTTTGAATTCACTGTGTAGTCTATGTGGGCCTTAAACTCACAGCAATCCTGCTTCAGGCCCCCAAGTGCTGAAATTATAGTTGTGCCACAATGCCTGGCTGCTTTTACTATTTTGGGTCTCTTTTGGTTCTATATGAATTTTAGGATTGTGTTCTCTATATCTGTGAGGAATATTGTTGGTATTTTGATTGGGATTCTGTTAAATCTCTGTATCATTTTTGGAAGTTGTCTTGGTTACCTTTTTCCCATCATTGAGACGAAATACACAACACCTAGAGTTAAGAAGACAGCTTTATTTAGCTCCCACTTTGTAGAGGTTTCAGTCCATAACTGGCTAACTCCAAGGTAGCATGACAGATGGGCATCACAGAGGAGAAACTATTCATGGCAGGTAGAAGCAGTGAAGTAGCAAGCAGCAAGCAAGTAGCACCAGCCCGCTTTCAGTCCCTTATATTTTATCCAGGCTACCTGGAATGTAGCACACTCAGGGGAAGTCTTCCCATTATCCACTCTCAGAACTATGTCAAACCAGTCAGTGAACTAATTTAGTAATCACATACCCGTCACCCCACCACCACACACGCTAGATCCAGCCACCTCTGAAAAGGCCCACCTATGACGACATGGGGATTTGGGGGGATCTAGATTTAACTGTAATAGAAGTTTAGCCATTTGACTATTTTGGTTATTTCTGTCTAGGAACATGGAGTATCTTTTTCTCCCCTATTTCCCTACCCTCCTTTCAGCATCTCTTTTTGTTTTCTGATGTCTTCTTTTATCTCCTTTTTCAGAGAGATGTAATTACATCTTAGAGGGTTTTCATTTCCTTGATTGTATTTATTCCTAAGTGCAGTACTTGATGCTGTTGATGAAACATATTATTTTTCTAATTTCCTTCTCAGTGAGTTCATTGTACAGGAATATTAGTGATTTATGTGTGTTGATTTCATATCCTGCTACATTGCTAAATTTAGTTATTCAGTGAGTCTTGGTGGAATTTTATGGGTCTTATAAGTAGAGGATCATAACAGCTACAAATAATGATACTTTGACTTCATTTCCTATACATATGCTTTTTATTTCTTTTTCTTGCCCGATTTCACTGGCTAATATTTTGAGGACTGTATTGAACAGGAGTGGTTGTAGTGGGCCTTTGTGTCTTATTCTTGATTTTAGAGGGAGAGCTTTCGGTTTTTCCCTATTTAGTATGATATTGACAGTGGGTTTGTCCTAAGTGGCTTTATTCAGACTGACATAAGGTCCTTCTGTATCTATTCTTTTTTTATTTAAGGAGAAAAAGGAAAAAAACAGAAAGGGTACAAGTAATACAAAATTTAAAAAATAAACAGGAAGAAATCACTAGTTAATAGATTACATATTCTCATCTTAGAAATAGTTGTTCAAGTTACAAAATTGAAGCATATAAAGTGGACTTTCAAACAGTGAGAGTGCAAACAGTTTTGTTCAATGATCCAAAAAACACTCAGTAATATGGTTATCTATCTTACACACTTAAACATATATGCAGTTATAACCTTTAGAGCACTTTTCTTTTCTTTTGTACAATGACAATTACACATTTTGGGTTTTATTACTCCCACATTTCTTACTACTTTTTTTGAAGAGAGTAAAACCAAATGCGACATATCAGAACAGAGTCAGTCAAATCAAAAGGATGGACATAATAGATAATGTAAAAAAATATATACGGTGATCAACAATGGTTACCACACTGCCTCTTGCTATTTTAAGAAGAATTGCCAGTTATAATAAAATTGAACTAAACAGTAAAGAATAAAACCAAAGCGTTGGAGATATTACAGGGTTTTAAAAGAAAATAATAGTCAACCGGAATGGGCATCATAATGATTCTTACTGTCTTCACAGTTATGCCTATACTTTCGAACTTGGTACTGTCAAGCAAAGCAGGATAGAGGAAAATCAGTCAAAACAAAGTGGTGAGGGCAATACAGGATTTCAAATCAAGTTAACAGGAAATCAAAGTAGGTTACTATAATGCATCCTGCTATTTTTTATTTATTTTTCCCTTAATTAAAAAAATAAGAAAAAAGTAAATAATTTTAAAAAGGGGGATTGAGATAAAAGAGGGCATAACAACAGAACAGCGCAGATCAAATCATAACCATTTAAGTGAAATAGTGTTTCAGCAAAGATATCCTGACATAAAAATAGATACTATAGTGTGTCTTTCCTTGAAATCTTTGAGTATAACTTCTTATACTGTAGCACCAAACATATCAAGTCACTATAAAACCATTCAATAGAATGACATTATTACAGGGTATTTAGAACCAATTGACAGAAAATGAACAATGGTTTCTATATAAACTCCTTGTCTATGAAAGTTTTTTCTTATATTATCATATATAATAAAATCCAATAAGATACAACCTTTTAAGACCAATGGAGACAGAAGAATACAAGTTTGATGGGACTTCAAAACAAGATGATACTAAATCAGCACTAGCTATTATGATGTCTTGTTTTCTCCAAAATTGCTGTTCCTACCTTCCGAACTTCTCTGCCTCATTTCTGTTGAGCTGTTTTTCTGTCGTTTGTTGTCAGTTTGTCTTCTTCATTTCATTTTCTGCTCCATTCATTGTGGCCTCTCTGCCACTATTTCTGGAATCTTGGTATTTTCCTTTTTTAGACTATCTTGCAGTATTCTCTGTAGAGTTGAATTAGTGGTTGCAAATTCCCCTAGTTCCTCTTTATCCTGGAAGCACCTTGTTTTTCCATCAATTTCTAGAGACAGTTGTGCAGGATATGTCAATCTTGGCTGGAGGTTATTACCTTTCAAAGCTTGAATTATTTCCTCCCACGCTCTTCATGATTTGATGGTTTGTGCTGAGAAGTCTGCTGTAATTCTGATGGGTGTTCCCTTGTAAGTGATCTGTTTCTTGTCTCTGATGGCTTTTAGTATTTTATTCTTATATTGGATTTCTGGAATTTTGATTATTATATGCCTGGGTGTAGCTCTGTTTGGGTTGTAGGTGGCTGGAGTCCTGTATGCCTCAGATATCTGAGTATCTTTACCATTTGCTAGATTAGGGAAATTCTCTTGGATTATTTCTGTGAATAGCTTTTGTAAAGTCCATTTGTTTGTGTCCCCACTTCTTCTCTTATGTTCTTAATTCTTAAGTTATAGATCCTCTTATCATCTTCTAGTTTTTGTATTGTTGCTGTTTGGTTTTTTTTGTTGTTGTTGTTATTTTTAAGAAGTTTTTTATTTCATGCTCCCATATTACAAATCTGCCTTCCAGTTCAGATAATCTATCCTTAGTTTCTTTCAAGCTGTTATGCCAGTTTTCGATAGAGTTTTTAGTTTCCTGGTAATCTCTTTGAATCTGCTTTATGTATTCTATGTTTTCTCTATCTTCTCCATCAAACAGTTCTCCTCTTTTTTTCTGTTCTTCCATTCCACCATCTGTTTTTTCTTGGGCAGTGCTTAGCGTTTCTCTAACTATTCTGCTTATTTCTTGCTTCAGGTCATCGATAACTTCATTTTTGAACTCATCTATGAGGCTCTGGCGATAGTGCTTTATGTCTATTGGTGCCGTGTCTGCTATTGTGTGTTTCTAGGATTTGGGGCCAAGGACCCTTTCTTGTTGCTCCCTCTTCCCATATTCTTTATCCTTATATTTAAGCGTGTATAGGAGGCCCAGCTTTCTTCCCTGTTGGCCACAGTCTGTTTGAATTGCACAGGCTAGGTGTTTCCGCCCATCGCAGTGGCACCAGGGAGACACAGACCTGGGCAGCCTATGCTGGGCCTGCCCCTCCAGCTCAACCTACCAAAGGCTTCACCACTAGGGTGCACTTCCAGGTGCTGGGACCTGAGTTGGGCTAGCCTATTGGCTCTCAGCCAGTGGTGTCTCACAGGCCAGGCACTCCCCACCCATCCCGCTTGAGAGGGGGATATGTGACTGAAGTCACTGCAGCTTCTCATTCTGGGAAGTCTTCCCAGTCCAAGTATGTCCTCCGCTGAAGCCTCCTTCTCTATGAAAGGTTCCTGATTCGCTCACTCACTGCAAGTTGATGCAGACACCCTGCCAGTTCTGCTCCCAAGTCCTTTCAAGGCTTCCCACTCTCTGAGCTTTCGCGCCTCTCTCCCTGCTGTGCTGACTGGGATGCAACAGCGGCTTCAGGTAATTCAAATCGCAGTTTCCAGTGGCACGGGTCCAGCTTCCATGCTGAGACCTTATCTGTGCCTGCTATATCACCAGGATTACATTTCCAGATGGTTTCTCTTAATTTAGTTCGTTCCTGGGTCAGCAAAGAATATCCCTCCTTGCCTGGGACTTCCTGCCTGGCACCATTCCTAAATTTCAAGTGCAGTTTTTCAGAGAGCCTCCGAGGCTGCTGCTATCTATCTGCCATGTTCTTCCGGACTCTTGTATCTATTTTCTTCAGGGTTTTATCATGACTGGATATTGGATTTTGTGCTATCTCTTGCTTTTTTATTGACCCTGATCAGTCTTCCTCGTCCCTTGCTATTTCATTAAATCTTTCTTTTCCTGATCACGAACCACAATTCTATCTTCTATATCTGATATTCTGTCCTTACATTGGCTTGTTTTGCTCCATATACTTTCAGTAGAATCTTTAATCTCCTGAATATCTGTTTGAATCTGTTTCATGGATTCCATTTCCTATGTTGGGCATTCATAGTTTCCATCATTATCCTAACCTCCTCTATCTTTTTATCTGTATAGGCTCTTAGAGTCACTAAGCATGCCTTTCATTATGATCACCACCTCTGTAATTATCTGAAAAATTGTTTCTCATCCGATTTTTTTTCTAGAGTCTCATTCATCTGCTTTGTTATTTCTGCTGTTATCACTTCAAAGAGTCCAGAGAGATGGCTTTTGGATTGTTGCATCTCATTGCTCCCTGGGTTTGCCTATGGTGAGCTAGAAATCTGGAACAGCATCTTATTCAAGTGTCTTCTCATTTTCTTTTCTTTTTTTAAAATTTAATTCCCAGGCTGATGCTTGTAAAATGCTTATGGTGAGTAACTTTATTGTTAGTATTTATAACCCTTAGGAAATGACTACCTCTCAGAGGTGTGTTGAGGTGTAGCTGGCTTTTGGGTTTTGAGTCTATTGCAAGATCCTCCCTCTTCAATTTATTGTGGATGTGAAGTTGCTGCCTACTGGTTTCCAGCCCCTAGTTCTTTGGAATTGGCCTGCAGTATTTTTTAATTACCCTTAGGTATATCAGGAAGAGCAGCTACTTAGAACAATTACGTTGCTTTGGCTAAAGTAGTACAATAACAATAACTGGCATCAAACAAAGCCTAGAAAATGTCAAATTTGGTAACTATTAATTTGCCACTTTTAACCATATGAGCTAGATTTGTGAACATATAACAAAATCTAATATGAATCATAAAATTATATATAGTAAATAGTTCCTAAATATGGTGATTTTACCCTCACAGAAGAAAATTTAAAAAGGATTAGGGAGAAAAAACAGAGAAATAGAAGGAGAAGGAGAAGAAAAGATTAGAAAAAAGGCTGGAGGAGAAAGGAAGATCACACAAACTTTGGGAAACTGATAAAGAGGACGAGACAAAGAGAAAGAAGAATTTAGAACAACATAAAAAAACTAAAAACATTTTAACACTTGCATAAAAACAAGAACAATTAAAAAAAACAAAAGCAGGCCTGGGGATTTAGCTCAGTGGCATAAGCGCCTGCCTTGCAAGCAGGCAGTCATGAGTTCGATCCCTGGTACCGATAAAAATGAAAAAAGACAAAAAAAAAAAAAAAGCAGAAATAAGAGAGGGAAATAAAAGAGGAAAATGTTTTCAAATGTCCACTTCAAGGCATGTCTCTGCTGTCACTGGTAGACAATGTGAGCCAACAGAGTCTAGACTGAATTGATTGATCCCAGCAAGCCAGCTGGGTAATTCTAGCATTACAGAGGGGTAATCGATAATCCCAGAAAGCTTGCATCTTTAGTTCTGGCTGTGAGGCTGGAACTGGATTTGTTTAGCCTAAGACAGTCCATGTGCCACAATCTGACAGCCAGCAAAGTCCTGAGAGGGGGTGATGGGAGATTAAGAAAAAACTAGACACATACTGAAAGGAAAGCTGGGACTGAGTGGAATCTGACCTCTCGGTGGAGAGGCAGTAATATCCCAGGGTATTCTGTCTCTATTTATACACAGTAAAAAACTGAGGGAAGCACATGACAGAGTCAAAAGTGCAAAGTGAAACAGTGTCAAAGTATGTGTGCTATAGTTAACAGGAGAATACCATGGCCAGACACCTCCTGGACTGGACTTACTCTAGTTCCAACAACTTGTTTACATGGCTTACCTCTGGAGCTCTATGTTGTCAGGGGGTGGGCCTTGCTCTAGCCCTGAATGAGTGGTAGATCTCCAGCTCAGCTACTACCCATATCATGTGCCTCTTGCTATTTTAAACTAAGCTTCCTAACGTATCAACTTGAACTCAGCAGCCTCACCCTGACATTGTGAGTCACTAGATGGAGATGGCCTGCAGCTTCTCTGACTTTGAGCTCAATTGGCCCCTCTGTAAGATGACTACTGATCCATCACTGTATCCTGGAGGACATCTGAACTCAAATAACTTACCAGTCACCATAGTCCACTATGTCCACTGCTCCATTCTATTGGTGTGTTTCTTTATGAAAACCTCTGGGATTGACAGTAGTCACCAAGCATCAACAGGTTTGAGCTGCACCTGTCCTGCAGTAAATCCGGGCTCAGGGAGGAAGCACTGCTTGTTACCTCCTTCGTTGAAGTCTCTCTCTTAATGCTGTCTGGGGCTTCATTTGTTGTTTCAGATCCTTGGTGGGTCCCAGGGATCCACTTCCTTCCTCCTTCTATTCCTCTCATTGCTATATTCCAGTGTCTGGATTGCAAATCTCAGAGACTTTTTGTCTGCTGCTCACCACCGTGTAGATATTGCATTTTGTAAAAATCTTTTTTTTTTCATGGTCTGTTCAGATAATTTTGTCATTTTGTGCTTGCTTCTGTTGGATTATATTTGTCAATTTTCATATGTTGAATCTTCTTTGCATCCCCATGATAAAGCCTAATTGATAGTTGGGCATTTTTTTCCTATGTATCTAATTAAGATTTATAAATAGCTGCAACTGTGTTGACATTTTTGTTGAGCTGAGATTCACTGGGCAGGAAAGAATCTAGTAGTAGATATATACTTTGGAAGGCAGTTGTCAGAGTTCTTTTAGTTTTCTACTATATTTATTTTTTCTTGTATTTTTTCCTAGATCTTGACATCTCCAATTTATTTTCTTCCACCAACCTTTTTGATTGAGTGTAATACAGAATTCTCTTTTTTGTCTTTTTGAAACAGGATTTTGCTGTGCAGTTCAGGCTGGCCTTGAACTCATTTTCTAATGCAGACTGGCGTCGAACTCACAGCAATCTTCCTGCCTCGGCTTCCTGAGTGCTGGGATTATAGACATGCACCATCACATCAGGCATGAATTAAATTTTTAAAATATGTGTAAGACTTACTTTTAAAAGGTTGT